ATATGATAGATTTTTGTGCTTCATATATCCCTGTGGTTGCTGAAATTATGCTTGTCAAGTGATGATTAGAAATTATGGTTCTCAGGAGCAAGGTACAGAAAACAAAGTACACTTGAAAAATAGAAGATGTAATATATATTCAACTATATTAATGATAGAAGGGCTGCTTTTGTTTCGGTGAAAAGGCATGCTTGCTAAGGGGTTTCGTCTTTGGTCTTTTTCTCGGATTTTGTTGATCAATTGGCTGCTTATTTGTGGCATCTACTTGAAGATGCACAGAGCTGCTGATCAAGATCCTCAATAGGAAGCTCAGGCGCCCCTCATCGCTGCTTTTTTTTCAAACATGCACAGCCGTGAAGGGGTTTTTGTCTTCGGTTGCTCATCTTCGGCAATTTTTCAGTGATGTGCAGAGCCGCCTCGGCCAAGGAAGACATCGACGCATTTAGTGACGCATTTAGCGATACAGATGAATGGGAGTATCTCGAGGATGGAGACAACAAGCCATATGTATGCAAGCTTGAGAACGTCCTTGCTCACCCCCTGGACGGAGTTTGCGATGAGCAGTTTTTCGATAAGGCAGCTCTGAATCAGCATAGGATCAGAATTCACAACCGTGAAATCGTACGTTTTTAGTATTCTAATATTGTTTTTTCCAGTTGACAATGCTAAAATCAGGAAATGGAAATGGGAGGAAGACTAAGCAGGAGTCCTCCTCCAGGAAGTACCAGGTGCAGAATTGTTTTTCCTCAAAAATCATTCGAATTTTTATGCAAATTTTTGTTATGCAAGATTTAGAAGATCAGGTGCAAAATGAAATGCTGCCGCGCAGACTAGAGAAACAGAAGCTCAAGCTTCTGAACATGAAGTATAGCCACATCAAGGATGAAGAGAGCCGGAAAATAAAAATCCTGCGAGATATTAAAACATGGAAAAAACACTATGCCGACTTGCTGCTGGCGAATGACAAAAAGAAGCAAAATAGACGATTACGTGCTGCTCAACGTGAGCAGGAACTGGTAATTTTTTTGTTGTCTGAAACATTTTTACTCTGTTTTTTTCTGCAGAGAAAGAAGAAACGGGAAATAAGGAAGATGAGAGAACAGAAGAAGAAAAAGACTAAGCATGAGCACGGCCATTGTCAGGATAAGGAGGAGAAGCATGCTCCTCAACGCAAGCAGGAAGTGGTAAGTTTCTTATTTTCTATATCTTTTTTACTCTGTTTCTTTTGCAGAGAAAGAGGAAACAGGGAGTAAGGAAAGAGCGAGAACAGAAGAAGAAAAAGACTGAGCATTTAGCTCTCGTTATTGTGCAGCACGAGCATGAAGAAAGAGAAAGAGAAACTCTGGTGAAGGAAGAAAGCCAAGAACAAACTCGCGTGGATGAAAATGTGGACAAAGAAAAGGTACAGTTTTATATTTATTTAGTTACTCGTCTTTGAAGAAGCTAAAGACTAATTACTATTTTCAGAGAGAGGTGCAGGAAAGGAAGGATGGGGAAGACGAACAGGAGGGAATAAGGAGCAAGAACAAAAGAAGAAAAATACTGAGGATTTAGCTCTCGTTATTGTGCAGCATGAGCATGAAGAAAGAGAAAGAGAAACTCTGGTGGAGGAAGAAAGCCAAGAACAGCAAGAACGAACTTGCATGGATGAAAATGAGGACAAAGAAAAGGTAAGGGTTTATGCTTATTAGTTATTAGTCTTTGAACAAGAAAAAGACTAACTAATATTTCAGAGAGAGGTGTAGGAAGGGAAGGATGAGGAGGACGAACAAGACAATGAAAAAGAGGAGGACGACAAACGAGATGATGGGGATGATGTTGAAGAGGATGAAGATGTGCAAGACACGCTCGAAACAAAAGACAAACAAAACGAGCAGGACAGCAGGACTAAGGTATTTAGTTAAAACCTTGACAAGAGGCAATCAATTTTTTTCCAGGATGTGAAGAAGCTGATAAAGAACACGCAAGAAAAGGTAGAAATATTAGACTTTACATTTTCGGTCGGAGCTTCAAACAAGTAATCTCAACCTCGAGAGAATTTGCCAATTTTATCTTACATATGAGATTTTTTGCAGCGATGAAGGGCTGTTCATCACAAATACTGATTTGCAGTCCTTGAATGCCGATAGAATGATAAATGACACGGTTGTAAACTTCTTCATCTTGTAAGTGTAAACTCCT